AGGAGTGTCAATGTATGAATGAAATGAACTATCTCATTCATACATAGCAATAATTTGAGCAACACAAAACATACTTTCAAATTTAATTATTACAAAAGACCTAATTCATAATAGAAAAAGAGCTATATTATTGCATAAATAATTCTCTAAAAAAACAAAAATTATATAATTAAAAAATAAATAAAACTGATTTTTAAATATATTAAATAAAAATAAATTACCTAAATGATTTTTTTCAACTACATTATTATTATTATTTCTACTTGATTTCCATCTGTTTTCTCGTAATTTAGTTAAAATAAAATTATTTTTTGTCAGATGTGATACTAAACTTCTAGCTTTATTAATATTAAACCCATTTAGAAAGCTTCTTTCGTTATTGTTTTTAGAAGAAAATTTAATTTGTTCAAGATTTTTTTCTGAATAAGCATCATGATATTGGCGTAAGTTTAACAAGAATTTAATATTTAATGACTTATTATCCAAAATAAACTTAGATCTAGAATCTATAAAGATAAAATTCTAAATTATTTATATAAAAAATAAAACTTAATATTAAAGAAATTAATTATTTACCACTTGGAAACCATAGAATATCAGGTAATTTTTGAATCCATTCTATAAGTACTTTACAAGCCCCATAAAGCTTTTCTAATGAAAGTTCAGGTTCTAAATCTAAATTAATTTCTTGGGTTCTATTTATTTCAGATATTGCATTGTTTATACAATAAGAAACAGATAAACTATTATCTATATTATATTCATTATTATTAGCTGTTTCAAGATTTAAGGGTAGGGTGAACGTCGATCATTTTTACTAGTAATCACGTTACTAATTTTTTTACAATAACATTCAATTGAAATCAGGTGATAATCATATGATATTTATATTGTGTAACTTAGGCAAATTTCGATCAACTTAGGAAGAATTAATGATATATACAAGTATGTTTTCTTTAAATAATACAGGGGTTCAAATTATTATAATTAGAATTAGAGGGTCTAATATATCTACCCCAAAACTTTTATAAAAATTGATTATATTTTTAAAAACTTTTATATGTAACATGTGTTCGATTTTTGTGTAATATTTTTTTGGTTGATCTATTTATATTAGAAATGATCTACATTCACCCTACCCTTAAATTTTCATTCCAAAAATCTTCAAGTTGCGAAGTAGAAATTTTCTTGTAGATATTAAAATAATAGGCATTGCTAGGTATAGAATTTATTTCTAAATGCCTCACTAAATGAATGGCTCTTTCATAACCAATATTAATTGCATCATCAATATCAATATTAGAAGGCCAATAGTATAAATGCTTAAAATCATTATCCAAAAGGTTAATTTCTTCATATTCATTAAAACCGTAACCTAGAACAAGTTGAATAAGTTTCAAATCAAATAAGTAATAATAGTATATGCACCATAAATAGAGTGGTTGGCAAGCTGGTGAGGTGAGCTTTTTTTTAGCTTGCCAAATAGTAGCAAGAGTCTTGCTACTATTTGGCGAGATAAAAAAAGCTCGCCTCATCAGCTTGCCAACCACCCTAACTATAAGGCTATGGCAAAAACCCGTATAAGTAATTTATTTTATATTTACTCTCATGCATTGTTTTTTCTTTTCTAAATAATAAATGATCCAATTGGATAGATCTAAAATACTGACTTATCTTCAGAACTATTTGTAAAATTTCTAAAAAGGTAAAGTTGGGTTGAAACTAATGGGCAACTCCAAAAATATGTTCACAAGATTCAGTGCCATACTTCCATGGTAGTAAAAGTATATCCTCATAATAATTTCTATAAATCTTAATTAAAAGAATTAAAACTAATCATAATATTAAAAGTTTGTATTGCTAAGAAGTTTTTTGAAACTGATACATATAAAGAATAAGAATCACTAAAGGTTTCAATATGATATCTCTATAGGTATAAAAAAAAGTATGCTATTATAGCCATTTTAATTCTTTCATAATGTGTAATATTGTGGTTAAGATAACTATCAATAAGTTCACCTGAAATAAATCGAAACTAGTTAGGGTGGTGACATTTATTACGTAATATTCTAGGGGAGGTGGGGTCAGGCAAATTCTTACATTACCTTATGTATTATATATAATATATATATATAATTTAAAAGATTAAAACAGGGCACCACCAGTGCCTCTACTTTAAATAAAATTGTTGGAATATTAATGTTTGCATTTTTAAAAATATATTAAGAATAGTGTTGTTTTTGATTAGGATTTATATTTGTTTTGTTATTATAATGATTTTTGTATGGGATGTGAAAAATAGAAAAGTTTTATTTGCATGTAATATGTATTAAAAAGTATTTATTTATAAGTTTTTTTTAAATGTTTGAAATTGAATTAATTTTTTGAAATTTTCTGAGTAATTTTAGGATTTTTTTTATTAGATAATATGTTTTGGTTGTATGTTAGCTTGGTGATTAATTAATATAGTCTTTAAGAGTTATAATTGAGATAAGTTTAAGTTTGTAAAAGTGGTAGTCGAGTATTAATATTATTAAGTTAATAAATAAATATGTATTTTTTTTTATTGAGGTATTTTTTATGTAATATTTTTGGAGCTTGTTTAGTATTGTGAAAGTATTAGTTGAATATTAATAAATAAATGATTTTAGTGGTTTTTTTTTTTGAGGTATTTTATGTAAAACTTTTGTGATTATATTTGTTGTGTTGATATAATTTTTTCGTGTTGTAAGTGTACAGTCTTTGTCAGTATTATAGTTAATTTGTTAGTATTAACAAATTTGTATTTGTGAGCATATTATAGTGTTTAAATTGTGTGAGTAGGTTTTAATGTAGTAACTTTGAAGTTTAATTTGGTTTATTAAATTCTGTAAAATATGTTGTTTATAGTTAATGTTTGGGCATAATTTTAATTGTTTATTTTCGTTTGAATGCTTATTTTGTAGTAGTTTTTATTTTATTGTTTATTGTAGTTTATATATTTAATTGTTTAATTTTTTATTTGATAGTTTATTTGTTATAGCTAATGGAATTCTATAACTAATAATTTTGAGAGTTTGAGTTTTATATTTTTCTTTGTTATTGAATTAGTTCCTTATAAACTATGTTAATTGTTTTTTTTTCCATGTTATTTTCTGAAAGTAAAATTAAAGCATGATTTCTATTTTTTACTCGTGATATAGCAGTATATAGTTGACCATGTGCAAATACATGAGATTTGAGATCTATTACAATTCGGTCTAATGTGAGTCCTTGACTACTATTAAAGGTTGCTAAATATGCTAAATATAATAGAAATTGTTTTCTGTATATTGTCTATGAGCAGTAATTGGGTTGGAAATAAAAGTTGATTCTTGGAATGAGATGAGTCTCTATATTGTTGGTAAAGTTATTGGTTTCGAGAACTTTTACTTCAATTAATTGTTGACCTAATTTAGTTATTATAACTCATTTGTTTTAACTAATCCTTTGTCTATTGAGATATTGCACATTATTGAACATATAGATCTGACTTTTAGATGAATTTCATAATTGGGTATTCCAGGGTATGTTATTTGTGCTAGGTAGTCAGGTGTGGTAGTTGGATAATTATTTATTATTTCATCATTTTCTTTAACACAGTCACAACTAAAATAGGTATGAGTTGTTTCTGTTAGTTTGTTTAGTATTTGGTTGTTAAATTCATCGACAAATATGTTTCGGGGGCTTAAGAAAGCTTTTTTTTGTAAAGTTTCATAGTTCATAAGTATGTTTGTTGGATAGAGAAAATTTATTGTTTCTTCTATGTTTTTGTAGTTTTAAAAATATTTAAAGATATCTCTTGATTATTATAATCTTCACCAATGCTGTCAATAAGTTTAGCAAATTCAGAATCATTTGCATTGCGCATTGGTTAGTTTAGTGTATGTACTTTAAAATATTTTCACAGATATAAAGTTTTATTGATGCATTTATTGTAGTGCTTTTTCCTGCTCCTTTGACTACTGGAGCAACTTGTCTGAAGTCTCCTACACCTATAAAGAGTTTTCCACCAAATGGTTGTTCTTTTTGGCAAATTTGACAGAGGAGATAGTCTACACATTCTAGTATAGCTTTGTTTATCATAGGAAGTTCATCCCATTCAATTAGTTTTGCTGTACGAATTAATTCTACACGAGAACTGTTGAGTTTGATATTTGATTTTAGGTTTGTGTTGTTTTTTTCTATTGGTATATGAAATAATGAATAAGCAGTACGACCACCTTCATATAGAAGGGCAGCTAAAGCTGTTATACCACATAATAAAATAATTTCTTTTTTGGCACGAATTGTATAACATATTACTTTAATTAGGAATGTTTTATTTCGTCCTGCTTTACTATCTAAAAATTTGGGAAATTCTTTTTCTGGTGTGAGTTCATTTTGTTCTTTCTATGATATGTATTTTATTACTTGTTTATAAAATGTTTTTTGTTCTTGATTTATTTTATTGTAAAGTTCTTTGGCTAGTTGATCATATTGAGTATAATTTGAATAACGTTGATATTCTGCTATTATATTGTTGGCAATTGAATCATTGTTGTGTGAGTTTTGTTGATTATCTGATATATAATTTTTTTTGAATTGTCACCATAATTCTAATGCAGAAGTTCCATCTAATACTAATTGTACAAATAGAAATTGTAATTGAGCTGGGGTATAAAAGTTATCAATAGCTTCTTTCATTGTAAGGATTCCTTCATCCACATTTGTGAATAATCCTATTTCATGAGCTGCTTCTTGATAAGTTTTATAGTTATTTCCATTTACTATTTTAAGTTCATTCCATGTTCTAGCAGCTCGATATATTAGTATACTTCTTAGATAAAATATTTTACCAGCTCTAGAGGTAATCAGAGCTATTCTAGTAATCTTATTTGCTGTTTGTTTTCGTACAATTTTTTTTGGTACTCCAGGATATTCTTGTTCAATAAAATCTTCATTGTGTATATCGTTTTGTTTAAAAGAGTATAATATATAGTTTTCATAGTATTCATTATATTTTAAATTGTCAAATAAAGAATCGAGGGGGCGTAAAAAATAACAGTTTAGTAGTAAAACTGATGATGAATTATTTTGTAAGTGTGTGTATTGAGATATATTGTTGTTCAAAAGGTGTATTAGAAGAATTTGTACTAATGGATCCAATAAAGTTATAGGATAATGGAATATTCTCCATGCAGCTTCTGGTGCTGATAAGTATTTTCCATTAATATAATCTTTAAATTCATTAATAGGTTTTATTGATGATTGATTTTTATTTTGTGAATTATTATTTTTTGTTGCTTCAAAAGTATTGTTATTAGAATTTTCTAAGTTTGTAGTATTTATATTGTATTTAACATAATCGGGACCTTTAAAAAGGTATTTATATAGATACATAAATAAATGAACTGTGGAAGCAATTTCAAAGTTAATATAGCATTCCAATTTTTGTAATAGCATTGGATTATAGAGTATAATTCATACATCATTTTGTGTTCTACGACGATATTATACGAAGCCCTTTTCATTAATATAAGTTTCTGGTATTATAGGTTTGGGATATTGGTAAATGCATTTACCATTACGAAGGCAACGTGGTGTATGTTGTAGTTTATGTATCATATATTTTTCAACTAGTTTTTTTAATTGTAAATTTTGTTCTGGTAATTCTGCTAATATAATTTTGTCTATTTGATCTATTGGAAGTTCTAGATGTACTTGTACTACTATATGGGCATGAGGATAATCACGTTTTTGGAATTCAATAACTTCAATAATATAAATTATTTGTCCAAAATATGTTTGTAATAATTCCTTTAATTTTTTTAGTCTAGAATGAAATGCACGTACAATTATTGAAATAATTTCTAATACATTTTGCCCTGGTCATAGTCAGGAACGAATTTCTTCCCAATTTGGGTTTGTTGTTATTGTTATAAAAAAACTTGGTTTTCCTCGGCAGTGAGCAAGTGCAAGAGCATTTGCAACATGGGATGAGTACCATCTTTTAGATCCTAAAAAGGATGCAGGAAAATGTAGATTTCTTTCTTCATTTTTACTATCTTCATTTTCAAAATCTTCCTCAATCATTATATTATTTTGTTCTTGCATTGTTTTTTTGTAAAGTTTCTTTTTTTCTCTTAATATATAATTTAAACGTTCTTCTTCTACACATGAGTACATATCAACTAAATATTCAGAAGTTAATTTTCCGAATATTAGAAATCATTGTTCTTGCAACAAACAACATCGATACAAATCAATTTAAGATATATTGTACTGATTTTTTGAATACTATCCTGGAGTACCATGTAGAAATAATAATGAATACTGTAGAGATTCATATTGTGAACTAAGTATATTTATAAATTTAGGTGTAGTATCTATACGGTGCCAAATTGTAATACTTCATGGATATATATTCACAGTATTATTAGCATGTATAATTGCTGCAACTTCTCCTGTTGAAGTATCTTCACGCAGTTCAAGTATAGCATCTTGTGAAGGTTCATTTTGAAATATTTGTAAAAAATATATATATGGATTAATTTGGATTAATATTGAGCAAATTGTTGAGATCCACTCATTAGGTACTTTATGTTTTTGTGCTG